GGCCTTCCATGCAATAATGAATCATTAAAATTCAGCAGCTCCTCTCTTGTGCTCTTGGCTCCTCACCAGCAATTCAGGCTGTTTCGCATTCGTTATGTGTGTGGTGGTTAAAATTCACTCTACCTCAAACAAGACCTTTCAAAACGCTTAACCCTTTCCTGGGTGAAGGACTCCATCACTACGTCGCGAATTCAGATGCACAAAAAAAAAAAGAGGAGGAGGAGGAGGGAGAAGAGCGAGGGGAGGAGAAAGGCAGCCGGAGGTATTTTGGGTAAATGTTTTAATATCACGTCTCTGACAGTCACAATATTGCCTGCGTTCACATCTACAAACAAATACGGGGAAGGAACCGGTGCCAGCGCGGCCGGGAGACGCAGAGCAGGCGCTCCCCAACCTGTGCTGCAGCCACCCGCGCTTTGCATCGCTTTCCCTAAACCAACACGGCCCCGGCAGCGGGTGGTGGGAGGCAGGAGGGGCACTCAGAGTTTGGATTAGGAGCGGCTTGTTTTTTCATTCCTAATTGGTTTAAGATAAACTGAAAGAAGGCGGCTTTTAGACCTCAATAAGTGTGTCCAACGGGCTTTTTGCACGGGCTTCACTAAATCAGGTCAAAACCAACACTCCAGTTAAGCCAGTGACACAGCGTGTCTGCTTGTGCCCGGAGCCATATGGGAACCTCTTGACGGGTCACCAGCAGCGCCCAGACACTCTTCCAAGCCCTGGTTGCTGCCACCTGAGCACCAAATCCTTCCTGGGCAGGACCCAGCGCCCCAGGCTGCAGAAGATGCGGGTTCCTCGAGCTCTGTTAAAACTCCTTTTTTTTCAGCAGGTTGCATGATTTTGTCGGAAAGCATCGCCTTCCATTTCAATCCTCATGCAGCACAGCTCTGAAACAAAATGAATTTACTTTCCACTCAGACCATAGCTCTGGCTAGAGTCCCACTGATGTGACCTGTGCTCACCCCCACGATGGGAACCCAGAGCGGATGGGAACCCGGCTGCAGGGCGGCAGGAGGATGAAGCAAGCTGTCATCAGCACTGCTTGCTGTGGTTTGGGCTCTGGGGGATTATTTTCAGCTTCTGCTGACTCATCTGAGAAATGTCTTTCCCTCACCGAGCCTTGTGCTTGGCTGCTTGGTGCTGTCCCTAATTCCTGCCTCTAAGGGGCACGAGGGCTTCTCAAGGTGATGGCAGTCCAGTTCGGCTGGCAGTGGTGCAGCAGAAGGACCCAGGAACCACTTGGTTCTCCTCAGCTCACACAGCACTAGAAGCATCATCCAGAGCCTCCAAGGAAGAGTGGAGCTAGGAGTTATGTGGGAAAAGTCCCTGCTTCCACAGGACTCCACGGGAACGGGAGCTTGGAGCCTTTCTGCTGCTGAGTTCCTGCTTACGGATCGGCCTGCAGGCTTAAAAGAACCTGATATCAATTGGAGCTGAACTGAGCCTCTCAAAGGCTGAAAGCAGGGAAATGCTGGAGCATCCCTCAGGAACTGATTCATCCTCATCCTCGGCTCTTCCATCCCTTTCCTGCTTCCAAAATCTCCCCAGCTTTTCACTGCAGCTGGGCTCAGCCCTCCCTATGGAAGAAAAAAGGGGAAAAACAAACCCCTGAGAGCTCCTCTTGTTCTTGAAGAGCTGTGGGCTGCAGCCGGGGAGTGCAAGGAGTGCGATGGCCCCACATGAGGTTTATTAAAGCTGAGCACTGCCAGGGGGACACCATATAAGAATTTCTTTGCCATAAATCGAATAACTAACTGTAAAAAAAGTGTAACAAAAATGTATAAAACTCCAGGAAAAATTACAATAAGGAGGATGGGAAGGGACTTTTTCCTCCATATAGAAGCAATGTGGATATGGGCTATAAAATTAATTTCCTCTTCCTTACTAAACAGCACCTTCCGAGCAATCCAGATAAATAGCAACAACTATAACTCCCTGCATCAAAATAGAAGAGGAACTATTATCACTTGTATATTCCTGTAATTATCTTGAGAACCCTTTTTTGTTGACAGCCGGGGGTCAAAAGCCGGCCTTGGTTTCACCTGATCTCATTGACTTGTGCAGAGACATTCCAGATCCGCGCCAGCACAGAGCCACCAGCCCAGGCTGGGAGCACACAATGCAGCCATTCACATCGGGAATTCAGCTCGGGGAAAATCACGTCTCGTTCTGCGGGCTTCATCCACACAGCACACGGGAAAAAGGAACAATGCATGAGAACGCATTTGTACAAACAGCAAAGATTTCAAAGCAAAATGCTCTTCTCCATATATAACTTGTACCACAGATCAGCGTTCTTGGACATGTGAGCGCAAAACTAAGCATGGGAAATGAACATGGGGAGATTTCCAGCACGCTCTGAAGTCAGAGTCACTGAGACTGCTCAGGGCAAGGAGCTTTCCCTGCCCGTCACCTCTGTGAGCATCCATCTGGTAACGTCTTTGAGTTTTACCCCATAGGTTTGCAGTGGGTGTCAGCCAACAATTTTCAGCGTCGGTATTTTGAGTGATGTGCACTGCTACCCAACGCAGACATTTTGACTCTGCCTCAGAGTTATGCAGACGTCAGTGAAGTCACTGTGAGCTCTGCTATTAAACATCAAGGGGACTGTAAAGATAAGCACTTATATTCCCATCTCTCTCTTTTTTCCTTCCCCAAGCATGGCACTTCGGAATGGAAGTCCCGCAACAGCGCACAGAGCAGGCAAAGCCAAAAGGCATCAATTTTTCTCACACGAACTATACTGAGACTTGAAGCTTACATTGCAACTGGAGGGAGGATAAAGGAGAAAAGAAAGTCTGCTCTGAAAGTTACTCTGCAGCTTTGGCTTACGGTGTAATAAAGTCATTTTGCCAGAAGTTTTGTAAACGAGCACAGAGAAAATGGTGTCCAGTTACAGACACTCTGGCACGATAGGTCTTGGCGAGGCTGCAAGCAGATTTGCTGTGGGACTCTGTTGTTCAGACTTCGTCAATGTTCTTAAGCTTCATTAATTGTCATCACATTTATTATCCTCATGCTCAAGCATTTTCCACAGCATTGCAGCACAACCAGGCCCGGTGCGTGCTTCTCTGCACTTCTAATCCCAGCTCCTTCCTCCCAGTTTGGGCCCAGCCTGGGAACTTTGCACCCGTTTGTCTGAACCGCTGAAAACAAACTGCAACATCATCTATATAACCAAAAAGTCACAAATGTAACTGTTCTAATGGCTGGATTAAAAAAAAAACCACCATGTGTAATGTATAATTTTGTTGCTATCGTAATTAAGAGGTATTTACATGGGTTCACTAACCAGAAAACAGAATCTGTTACTGTAAAATTCCTACGTGCTGCGCAGAACAGAATGAACTCGGCTCAAACCATGCAGTCTGACCTTGCAAAGCCTTTCTCACGTGAGCAGTCTCAACAAAATCCTATGAAATCCTTGGGATTACTTGCATGGAAATACACTCCTTGACGAAGTATAAAAAAATAAAGGCAATCTTGCAGTAAGGCACAGTTTAAACACAAGGAAAGGGAGCAACAAGGAGAAAACAAAACAAGATAAAAAGGAAACAGCGGAACAGAAAGCCTCGGTCAATGTTTTATTCTGAATAGCCTCTTTCAGAAATATTCCAAGTTCCACAGCAATGGGCTCAAGGAGAAAGAAAACATAACACAGACTTGATAAAAAGCCACTTTTAATTTTATCAAATTGATCTGTACAAAAGTTAGCATTGCTTAGTCAGAAGCTAGTGAAGAGAACAGATAAGTAACAGCCAAAGTCTTTCAAACTTTATACAGAAAAATAGATTGCATAAAAACGAGTTTTCTGTATTTTTCCCCCACCCCCACGTTCCCAAAAGGAAATATGCAAAAAATATTTTTAGAAAAAGAGTAGGAAACGTAGAAAAGGTAAAAAGATGATAACGTCTGAAACATGTTTTTAGATTTACAAAGTTTTTAAAGGCACAAGTTATCATAAAATAGATGGTTATTATATGCTCAGCATACAATGGAAGAAGTAGAAATATATCAATGAAATATTAGTCTAAAACTAAGTACCTAAACATTTTTTTTAGTGGAGAAGATTTTAGTTTCACAGCTTGATGGATGATACCTGGTCCCTAGAAGCCAAAAAAATGTAAAAAAAAAAAAATAATAATAATAAAAAAATCAAAGCAGAAGTTGATAATTCCTCATTAAATTACATCTTCCTATAAAGTAGTCCTGGTTCTGAAAGCGTACAACTATTTGCAATGCCTTCAATGTTCAATGTTAGAGCCTGAAAGCAGGTAGGCAGGAAAACACGGCGCTGTCTGCTGCCGGCCGGTCGTGTGAGCCTCCGAATTTAGGGAGCAGCTTCTGCAGCACCCCTGAGCGCTGCGCTGCCCGTGCTGCAGCTCCCAGTGGAGCTCCCTGCTCATGACCAGGTCTGTGCGAGGCTGCAGCCTTCAGCCTCCCTCGAGCGGTTCAAAACAAAAAGAACCCGAAAACCAAAGAGTATCTATAGACTCGTAACACCATTTTATTGTGTCATCTCCACTATTTTGATGCTCCCTCCCCACCCCATCTTTAAAAATCTTTTAAAATTCTACTTTTTTTTTTTCTGCACAAAATTACTTCATTAATTAAAAGACAAAATAATACAGAACATAAATACATATTTAACAGATTAAAAAAAAAAAAAAAAGAAAAAATTTAACTTAAAAAAAAAAATAAATAGACCTGCATCACAAAACCAAAACAAAATGTTAATTACAGCCAAACCTTGCTTAGAAGAACTCTCGACTACAAAACAAACACTTCAGACATGTAATTGGTTGGTCCCACCACACTCGCTTGTTCCCACAAGATTGTTACGCAGAATCGCTGGGGTTTCGCTTTCCGTACGCCTTGGTCCGGGTGAGTTCTTGCCCTCAAGGTTGGTCCGTCTCCCACATTGCAACAGACCCTGAAAGTCTCCAACGTCTCTTCCTTTCTCCCCCCACCCCCCCCCCCCACCCCATTTTGCACTTGTCAGCTTCCACAATGAGCAAGTTCAGTCCTCACAGAGGAGTCGAATGGTTTTGTCCTTCATTTATTCAAAAGGAATCACCAGTCCTTTTCAGTATTTCTTTTTTAACTCTTCTTTTTTTTTTTTTTATTTTTAATTTTATTAATTAAAGAAAAATAGAGCTCTGTCCTTTTGGAGAGTTTCAAAGCAAGGGGACACCCAGTCGCAACGAGCAGAGTTCCCAGCGGCTCAGGAGGCACTTGGGAAACAATCGCGGCACTCCACGTTCTTCCTCTTCGTTCCTTCATTAGTGCATACGTCGGGGAAGCCCTGGGGGGGCTCCACGCATCCTTTTTAAGGCCTTGTCAGGGTTGTGTAGACCGGCTGGTCCCAGTTAGCGGTGGGGCTGTGGGCCGGCGGGATGGACAAGCCGTTGAGGATGGGTGTCGCGTAGGGACGCCGTGAGGAGTGGAAGTAGGGGTACTGATAGATGCTGGAGGGGTAACCGGGATAGGGGTTGTAGTAGTTGGAGCTCTGCAGGTCCGTGTAGTCGCACTGGGAGCTGGAGAAGGAGGCGGCAGCTGTGGCGGTGGAGGCAGTGGTGGCACAGGCCTGGGTGCTGTAGGAACCGTAGTCGGAATGTGCAGGGGAGCCGTGGGACTGGTCGCTGTAGTGACTGGGGCTCAGCTGCTCCGTTTTGATGTGCGGCCTTTGCTGGCCCGAATCAGCCGACGATGGCGATGCCGAGGCCGGGCTCTTGTGAGTCCACACCTGGCCAGCCCCGCCGGCGCCTGCTGCCGAGTGGGAGTAGGACGTGCTGTAGGAGCCAGCACTGGGGCCGTGGTCAGCCGGCATGGCGGTATGGCCATTGAGCGGCAGGTACTGGTCAAACTCGTGCACATCGAAGGTCTCCATGTTGTTGATGACCTCGCTGCTCAGCTCTGAGATGTCCACGTTGCTGAAGTCAATGTTCTGGCGGCCGCTTTCCACGAGGCGGCGGCCCTCGTGCTTCAGCTCTTGCTTGCTGCCGTGGTGCAGGTCGGTTTTAGGGGTTGTGGGTGGCGTGGGTGGCCCATGGGGCTGGCCTGGGGACGAAGGGACAGGAAAGTTTTAAGGAGAGCACCCACAAAACATCTCTCAAGGAAGCCGAGAACCACATGTTTCTCCCCGTCCGTAATGCAAAAGGAGAAGGGGCAACTTTAAAATAGAGCCCCGTGTTGGAGGTGGCTGATGTTTCCCCTCATTCCCCATTATTTCCTCAATTTGGGATACAGTGCTCACAGAGCCAACAGTTCATAGCGAGAAGCACAACCCAATGAGTGCTGCATCCCTGCAGGGTCACCCTCACAGCAGAAGGACCCCTCTACACAGATGGCCTGAGGCCAGCGTGGCTCCCCCAGAGCAGGGATGCTGTTCCAGCCATGAGGGAAGGGGCCGGGTCCCAGCCAGGCTGGGCAAGAGCGCAGACACGCCTGCAGCCGCAGGACGTTCGCAATCCTCCTGGAATCTGTCAACACGTACCCTGTGCCAATTCACAGCACTGCGAGAAACGGGGAGCTTCAGGGGGCACCGCTCCCCCAGGCACCCTTCAGGTGACCAATGCATTATTAACCCGTACTGTCACAATTAATTCCCCTCTCTAGACACAAAATTCGAGTCATTTTTTGCACTTCACGCATTTCCAGTTGCATTTAGTAACTAAATGCATGGCCACACTCACAACCTGATACAAAAACCACAGCTCTTAGAGCAACGGCTCTGCTTCTGGATGCCCCTCAGTCCCACACTGCACAGGCTCTGAGCATGCAGACAGCCTTGTGCCCACTGGCAGGTTCAAGTCACAAAGCAACACCCCCAGAACATGCAGTTCTCAGCCCCCCAGGACCCTTTACCTGTGTGCTCGCCATGGTGGTGGCCATCAGCCATGCCCCCCAGCCCGCTGTCTGCCTTGTAGATCTGGGTGCCGGCGTGGTGGCTGAGCTCAGCCCCGGAGTCAGAGTCGCTCTGCCCAGCTTTCACACTTTTCCTCCTCCGGGGCTGGTATTTATAATCCGGGTGATCCTTTTTGTGCTGGACCCTGAGCCGCTCAGCTTCTTCCACAAAGGGACGTTTCTCATTTTCACTTAACAAACTGGTTTGGGATTGATTTTTTTTTTTTTTTTTTTTTTTTTAAATAAGGAGGAAAAAGAAAAATCCAAAATTAATGTCTTTTCCTTATACGTTTTCAGTTTATTTTCTGACTCACATCCGCACTGCAATGACCAAAGAGTTCAATACAAATTTGCCGTAGCAGCAAAAAAACAAAACCCTACTGCAAAAATCTGTTAAAATATCAGTTATAGAGGCAGAAAAAAGCACATCCTTACCGATATTGATAATCAGACAAAATACCCCCCCATCCCATTTAGAAATGCCAGTTTTCATCCCTTTGCCAAATATAATTCCCACAGTCACCCTACAAATGCCACCCCACCACCATGACCCGCAGTGCTGCCCACGTCCAGCTTTGTGTGGTGCTCACAAAGAACTCCCAAAGGCAAAGCAATGGGATCCTTTCTCTTAAATCTTCCCCCAGCCCCAATCTTGCTTTGTACACTGCCAAGGAGCCCAAACAGGCAGCAGCAGTGCGGGTTTGGTGCAGCTGCAGCACACGGCCCAGCAAGAAAAGTTTGCATCAGTTGTGGTAATGGTGCTCATAGCAAGGGAAGTAAGAAAGCAGAGCGAAATTATAGCTAAAAATCGGCTTGTCTAGTTTTACAGATTGTTAGGCAGCAAGCGAGCCAGCCAGCAAAAAAGAAAAAAAAAGTACATGAGAAAAAGACATTGTAAAAGAAGCAGTAAGAAAATAAGCAGCATTTCTCGGGGGTGTAGGAAGCATTGGAAAGAGCAGGAACGAGCAAGGGCTGAAGAGTCCGAAGCGCTCTGAGAACCGCTCCACAGGCAAAGACGGACAGAGAAAAAGAAGTTAAAGAAAGGGAAAATGTTAAAGAGAAAGGGAAAAAACAGCATGAAAGAAGCGGTGAGAGAGATGCGAAGCTGCGCGAACGGCAGCGAAGCCCCCGGAACGTCCCCGGCGGCGCGGAGATGCGCGGTGCGGACTCACCGCCAGAGCTTGCCCAGCGTCTTGCTGAGCTCGGCGTTGTGCAGGTGCGGGTATTGGTCGGCCAGCTTCCTGCGGGCGGCCTGCGCCCACACCATGAAGGCGTTCATGGGCCGCTTGACGTGCGGCTTCGCCTTGAGCGACCCGTTGCCGCGCACGGGCATAGGCACCAAGCTCCAATCGTAGCCCTTCAGCACCTGCGAGACGGCGTCGCGGATGCAGGCGGGGAAGCGCTCGTCCACCTCGGCCGCATCCACCTTAGCGCCCAGCGGGGCGGCACCGGGGGGGCGCGGGGCGGGCGCGGGCGCGCAGCCCAGGCCCTCGGAGCCGGCGGGGGACAGCGGGGAGTCGGAGTCCGAGTCCACGTGGGACATGGAGCTGGTGGTGCCCGCGGGGCTGCACGGAGCCTCCAGCGCCTTGTCGTGCTCCTCGGTCATGTTGAGCATTTGGTGGCCGCGAGCGGGGCGGGATGGGGAAGAGGACGGGGGAGGCGAAAAGGGGGCGCGGGGCTGAGCCGCCCCGAGAAGAGCAGCGGTGCCGTGCAGCCCTCCGCAGGCTCCCAGAAGGCGAGAAAAAAAACCAAAACACAAATAAAAATACAAAAACTGAGCAGAATACAATTTCAAGAAAAGGAAAAAGGCACAAAGGTAGCAAACTCAGCCAAAAAAGAAAAAGAAAAAAAAAAAAAAAAAAAAAAAATCAAACTCTCGCTCCGCAGTCCCGGCGCCCCGCACCGCTCCCTTCGTCCGCTGCCGCGCTCCACGTCCAGTGCAAAACGCGGCCCCCGGCAACGGGCGCCTTTAAGGCGCGGGAGTGAGGCTCCGCCCCCAGCGCCGCTCCCGATTGGAGGAGAGGGCGGGGCTCATTTCCATACGGGGCGGTGCGTGCTGTGCGGGGCCGCTCTGCTCTCGCGCCGCGTTCCCGCCCGGAGTCTTCGCTGCCGCTCGGAGCGGTTCGGTTCCCCGCTCCGTTCTCTGTGCTGCGCGGCTGTAAGGCGCCGTGGACGCTCCGCTGTGCGGTACCGCTGGGGCTGATGGGGATTCCCGGTGTCGGGGCTGTGATTAGGCCCCGGCTGTGCGCAAAGGTCCTTTTATTCTGGGGGTAGTGGGGTCTCGGTGCGGTTGGGGTGCACTGAATTTTTGCTCCCTGTCCTGTTTTGTAGCTGTTCGGTCGGTGGTTACCAGGAGAGGAACGCGGTGCTCCGTGCGTCCCGAGCCGCCCGGTGCCGCCCCGCTCCTCCCGCAGCCTCTGGGCCGAGTTCAGTGCGAGCCGTGCTTCCCCAGAACTCATTGGGAGCATTTGATTCTAATTAGCCGCGGAATCCAGCCCTGTAATTGGGGCTGGAAGAAAGCAGTGCTTCGAATTCCGGCTTTATTCCTTCCTCAGCTTCTCTTTCCCTCTGGAAAAATAGGATCAAGTATAAGATTTACAGGGAAAAATAAGACTTGTGCTCCAGCAATGGGCAATAGCAGCGATATGTGGCTGTGAGCATCGTTTGTTTCCTGCAATGTTTTCTCACCTTGAAATAAAGCGTGTGCTCTGAATTCAAAGTGCTTTCACTTGTGTGTGTGTGCCACGGTGTGCACGTCTGTCCTATGGGAAAGTGGGTATATTTCAATGAAGTGCAAAGCAGGAATTTGTATTATTTAAAAACTCTCTTATTTCCTTACTAATGTCATTTCTCAAGATTTCAGCTTTCCATTTCCAGAGCTGCAAAATGAATTACCTTTAGTCAAAGATTTTTAAATGTAAATCCACAAAGCATCGCTTAAAATAACGCTGTCTTAAAGCCTCCCAACACCATCTGTAGGGTAACCGTGTGAGCGAGGGGTGAGGGAACGTCTCTTCCTACTCCAAAGCTCTTGGGGCTGTGGGTTTAGCAGTGCTGTGGGTTTAGCAGTGCTGTGGGACACTCAGCAGAGCTCTTTATGTCAGCTGAGAAATGATGCCGGTCACTGTGGGGTCTTGTGGCTCCCTACTAAATTTGTTGCATGGTGTTTCTGTGAGTCAGGTAAATTGTATTTCGTTCTTTGAATGAATGGCAGCTGAGCCAAAGAAATAATCACTGCTTTCAGTCCCTGATTGCAGTCAGCCTCTCCTGGCAGTGCCTCCCTGGGAAGATCCCATTGTCACTGTAGGGTTGAGAGGGCTCTGTGGGGTGAGGAATGGCAACTAGAGCTGTGCTTCCCTCATTGCTGCCCTCAGGCCCAGGTCATCCTGCAGCCCTGAGGAATGTGAGATCAGTGATGCTGCTTTTCTCCTCATTCACATCCTGCTGTCCTGCCTGGCTCCCCAGTGCTGCCTGGGGCAGTGAGATGCACCTCCTGGCCCGCATGCAAAAGCAGATAGGAGGAGAACATCAGGAACCGCTGCCTCTTATTCTGGAGATGGGTAGGAGAAGGGGAGAGCCAGGGATGGGCAGGGCATGTTTCCTCACACCTGCTTTGGGGATCTTGCAGGTCCGTATTTGGTGTGACGAAGAGTTGAGGATGTTTGCCCAGGGATGGGCAAAGGATGGAGCTGCAGGATGGGTCCTGCGGTGATTCCACACCATGTGTTGTTTTATCTGGGCTATCAGCTGGCTGGGAGGAGCACAGACATCTGAAAGGGAAGGGCACCAGGGGCTGAGACAAGGGGCAGGTACAGTCACGCTGCAGTTCCACTTCTGTAGAAGAACGTGTTTCTTCCTTGGTGATTTTGTTTGCCTGGTTCATGCCATATCCTGGTTGATACCCTTTGGCCTTTATCAGAAGAAAGGGGTTACTTCCTCAACCATGCCTATTAAACCAAGCCTCAGATGCCAAAGGAGAAACAGACTGCACAGTCTGCTTTGGGGAGCACTGAGGTTCACGTAATCCAGTGGAGGCTTAAACAGTGTGCTGAACAGGGCAGGTTTAGGGATGATTTGGGAGGGATAAATAAGCTTTTATTGACAGGGTGGCTACAGCAGGACTCCGTCAGGCACCTGCCAATATTGGCAGTGTTTCTTCATTTTTTGAGAAGTCTGATACTGATAAAGTTCCTGGCCAGCTCACACCAGTGTTGCTCGGGATCAAGTAGTAAATCCCACATCTGTGTGTCTGGCTCCATCACACTGTCACTTGTCTCTGGGAACTCTCAGAGTCACTGCGGGGTGGAGGAACTCTGACCCCAGTCCTGGTTCCTCTGCAGCACATCTCCTGGTCCTGCATGGCAGTGTCCTGGCTGCAGGGCTGTCAGTGCCCCGTGAACACTGGGGAAGGGACATTTCATCTCAGCATCAAAGAGGGGAGTTATTTTCATATGCGTTTTCAGAGCGTACAAGAACACACAATGGGAAATGCTCTGCAGCACTCATTCCCTCGCTGGGGGGTTGCAGCCAAAAGTGGGCTCTGTGGTTTAATCTGATCGAGTGGTGAGGTTATCATTTTTCAAAAATTGGCTACCTTTGAACTGCGAGCAGACTTTACATGGGAATTTTGAAGAGCAAATAAAAAGAACATTACAGGGAGAAGAAAAAACAATCCCTAATCAGATAAGAGTAACCTATGCATCGTGTTAAAATAAGCCTCTGACATCTGCAGGATTAATGCTCTGCCCAGAGGATACGGCATTTCAGAGGCAGCTCAGGGATTTCTGCAAAACAAAATTCAGTCATTTTCAGTACAGCTACTGATTTCTAACAGGGAGGAGAAGATGGGCTGTAGCTTTCAGTTAATTTCAATTAAAACAGCAGCAGAAGAGAAGATTTGCTCTCAGAATGAACCATAGTATTGGGTCCAATCCTACAGTGCTTGCAAAGGCTCCAGCACAGACCGCTGTCTGCTCGTACAAATCTAACACTGGATTTACATCGCTCAGCTGCTTGCTTGATCAGTTGTGGTCTGAAATCTGTCATCCATGCACATGAGTGAGCCATGCTGCTTTGGACAGTTTGGAAACCTAAGGAGTTGGATCCATTTTGAGGATGAAAATGGACAGAAGTTTTTTGCAAATTTTACTTAACGCTTGGAGTATTCGGTCCCCAGCATTTATTTCCACAGCTCCCACCACCAGACTTAGCTTTGCTCTCAAAATTCTCAGTGTCACCTGCACAGCAGGAGTGGAAAACAACCGTGTGCTCCCATCAGAGTTCCTGCGTTCCAGACACAGTGCTCCCACTGCAGCAAGAACAAGTCTGTATTGTTACAGCCTCATCCAGAGCCCATTATTAGAGACATTTCCACGGACTGCGAAGAGCTGGGGCTCGGGGCTTGCATCACAATGATTGGAAGCAAACCTGCACTCATTGCACAGCTGCTGCAGCTTGCTGAGAGCAGGGTGAAGAAAGAGGGCTTAAATATTAGTTTAATATTAGTTTTTATTGCGTTAATGGGGCTCTGAGCTCATGCATCCCTTCTTTTTCTGGACAGCTGCAGGATAAACGTAATGCAGGAATGTGTCTCCTGGCAGCCCCTTTCCAACCCATGAACATTTACCTGGTGAGATGAAGAAACTCAGCACACCTGTGCCAGGCAGGGCTGCACTGACCTTCCCTTGCTGAAAAGGCACATGGAGAGGAGTGCATGGGAATCCCAAGTCCTTTTCTAGATTTCATCATGGCAGGAGATATCAGTAAAGAAATGAACCTCTTCTTAGGAAGGTTTCATTTCAAAGAGCGCTCTGTGAAAATCTTCACATGCCGCGTTTGGCCTGGAGAGGAATTTCTGCTAAAAGAAAATCAAAAAGCCCTCGCTGACAAATGCCTTTTTGATTATTAATTTTTAATATCCCAGTGGAAGATGTGAACTCGTGGCTCACAAGGAGTTTTTGCCTTGCAGCGCTCGTAGCCGCGGTCCTGGCAGCCAAGGACCTGGACTGAGGGCAATTACAAACCTGAACAAGTTTCTCTTTCGGTCTCAGAAAATGTGTGTAGGGACTAAAACTGGGGGAAAGCAAAATATATGCCAAGGTATTATTTCTATCCAAATTTTAAAAGATACCATTAGCATAACAAAATTTGCTGTAGAGCGATAAATGACACCACAATCAGATTTTAAAGGCCAGGTGATGCAGTGGCAAGAGATGTGTTCTTTCCCGTTGCACGACGCAGACTGGATGGCATTTTTATTTTATTTTCTCAGAATAATGGAGAATGACAGTTTTATTACATATAATTACTGTGATTATTAATTGTTTGTCCTATGGTACCGCTTTGGAATCCCACTTCTGAATCAACACCTCCACCCTCCCCTTGTTATAGACGCCATACAAATACCGTAAGAAAAAAGTAATTCTTCCTCCAAAAATCCTTTTCAGTCCTAATCCTGCTAACCCTGGAGTTAAGGATCGGATTTCCACAGGGAAAGATCAGAAATTTTAATGGAAAAAAATATTACATCTGGAAAAATGTTAACTAGTAGAAGGAAGCTCCCAAATTCTTCGTGAGATCCCACCTCCCATTCAGCAGATGCAGCTGAACGCTCCG